GAGAGAAAGACCCTCAACCAAGTGGACTGACATGATGACTGCCACAAGTGGGCTCTAATGTGTCAGGAAAGACGGTACAGGATAGGACAGAGTTCAGATCCACCGTTCATAGGGTTGCTATGAGTTGTACTCCACTCAAAAGCACTTATCCACAACCAACCTTTTGCCACTGAATCAAGTTCAACTCAGAGTGACCCTACTACACTAGCGTTTCCTGTATAAGCCTATAAGGCTTCAATCACTATGAAAGCAGATTGTCACACCCTTCTCTGGATCAGCTGGCAGATGAATGCTTTATCACACCACCAACAGGGCTCCTTCACATTAAAAAACAAAACAACACCCATCCACTGCCTTGGAGTCAGTTCTGACTCCTAACAACCTTTCATTGGGCTTCTGAAGCTGTAAATCTTTACAGACTGCCTATCTCCTCTCCCTCAGAGTGGCTAGTGGATTCAAACTGGCAGTGTGTTAGTTAGCAGTCCAAGACTTTACACACTATAACACCAGTGTTCCTTGTATCCAGAATCAACTCAGAACTAACTCATAGCTGACCCTCCAGTGAGGTTTTAGAGGCTATAAACTGCATGGAAGGAGACTGTCCATCTTTCTCCCACGGAAGAGAACTTAGGATTGGCAACAAAATTCCTTAGCCACAGGCCACCGGAACTCCCTAAGATTGTTTTGTTGTTGTTGTGTGCCATCAAGTCAGAAATGACCCAGGGCTGATCCTCCAGTTAGTTTTTAGAGGCAGTAAATCGCACAGGAGGAGACTGCCTATCCTCCTGCAGAGCTGCTGGTGGATTAGAACTGCATGCCTTTGAGCTTGCAGCAGTTTCTCCATTCAGGCCACCAGAGCTCCATTCCCTAAGATTAGAACCTGCAAACAGAAGATAGAATAATATGAGCATTGCCACCTAGTGGCAACCCAATATATCTATATATAGAAAAAGAATTCTAGAAAAGGGTTTCTTAACTTTTAATAGGTCAGGGTCTTTAGACAATCTATTAAATCCAACAGGGTTGGTTTGTTTTTTTGTTTTTTTTTTTGTCAGAAAAATAACACATAATATTATACTTAGGGTTTTAGGGAATTAAAGGCCTTTTGGATGACATCTGTTACCATATAAATTAATAGATAAACCAAATCTAGAAATTCAATTAAGTACTTTTGCTTGAGGTGAAGGACACCATCTATTTTTCCTTCATTTCTTCTTCCCTAGCTAGCAGCCAGTATTCCAGCACAGACAGTATCTAACATTTTTCTTTTAAAGATATTTGGGTTTGAGAACTACCAAATTATCACTGTTCTCAAGCCAGTGACAAGAATGATGCACTCCTTTCCTGATTTTGAACCATGCAGTGTTAACTTGCTCTGAGTACTGCTTCCTTGTCCAAGCATAGGTTTTGCATAAGCACAATCAAGTGTTCTGGGATTCCCATTTTCCTCAAGGTTAGTCACAATTTTTGTGATCCACAGTCAAACGTTTTTGCACAGTCAATGAAACACAGATCAACATTCCTCTGGTACTCTGGTTTCTGTCAAGATCCTTCTGACATTGTCAATAATGGCTCTAATACCATGTCCTCTTCTAACATTAAGTTTGTGGGACAGTCTCAAACCTGTGTTGGAGTCTGGGTTTTCAACTTCAGACTCCTAACAAATTGTCAGGAATCTCACAGAATTGCATATGACAGGATCTGAGACTGCCCTGTAATCTTCTTACTCAGGTAACACCATTCTCCCAGAAGGCCACTGACTTCCTAACATCAAGCCTGTGGCATAGGACAGTCTCAAACCTGCATAGGGGTCTGGGTTATTTTATTATTTACAATAGCATAGAGATAGAAGTAATCCAAGTGTCCATCAATGGAAAAAACTATGGCATACTCACACAATGGAGTTTTATGCAACACTAAGAAATGGTAATTTGCTTAATGCTACATAACTGCTAAATCTAGAGGAAATTATGCTAAGTGATATAAATCAGTCACAAAAGGAAAATTATTGTTTAAAATCACAATTATAAAAAGTTAAGGTAAGACTGCTACATAGAATCATTCTTGGACAGTTACAAAGGAGGGAGAAAGGAAGGTAAGGGAAGTTAAAATGAATAGACTTACTAAGTTATATGGAGTTGATAAAACATAATTAACTAATTGTAATTAATGTTCATGTATGAATGACTGAATGAGAAACAAGTATGATTAGAGAATTTTCACTCAAATCACAATGCAGACAATGACAGATGCTGCAGCTTGACAGTCTCATGCTCCCCAAATTCATTTATCCCTAGTCACAGCTTCCAAACCGTGCTATCTTTAGGGACACTGACATAGCAGCAAAGTTATTGGGGTTTGGCTGCCACAATCTGAGTGGCTGGTTCTGGGTCTGGGATTGCTTTTGGGATTCTCATCACTGGTTAACACATGAATAATTTTCTAAAGCAGCAGTGCTTGTCTTAGACCATTTTGGGCTTTGCCCTATAACAGACCATGGGCTTCTTGTGACTGATTGTAGTCTTTCTCATTCTCTCTGCCAAATAAAGAAGCCATCTCTAACTCCCATAGATTTTTCTTGTATATCACCTATCTTTTTTTTTTTTTTTAATTTTATTTTATTATTTGTGTGTGTGCGTGTACCATCAAATAGGATCTGACTGGTACAGGAAGAGATTGTCCCTCCTTCCTCAGCAGAGCATCTGGTGGATTCGAACCGTGAACCTCTGGGATTGCAGTACAGCTTCTTGCCACTAGGCCACCAGAGCTCCCCATATCACCTATCTTGTATGTCTCTTTTCCCTGAACCTCCCCAGGAAGCCTAGGAAAAATGATTGGCTCAGGATTTAACAGAGGGAAGACAAATAGATACAGTATTCATATTAAATAAAAAAAAATTCTATTTAAAAGTCTACTGTTTGTTGTTAGTTGGTTTATTGGTTTTTGTTTTTTTTAAAGTATTCCTAGTCCTTTAGACATTTTCGTTTTCTTCCTAATCTAATCATTGTTAACATCATTCCAGTTGGATCTGGTCTCATCTATATTGCAATAATTAAAATATTCCCTTTTAAATTAAAAATTAGAAGTTTCCCTTTCTAGGTACGTATAAACTACAATACACTAACAAATTAACACACTATTACGTTCTATTCAAACTCATCAGTTGCTCCATAGTAGAACTGAAGACTCTATAGGTAGTCCTACTCACCATATAGAGTAGTTTAACTCTACACAGTGGCTAAATCAGAATGGACTCAACAGCAGTGGGTGAGTTCTGGGCAATTCAGAGTGCAATGAAACCAAGGCATTCTCCTTCAAACATTCCTTTTATAACCTCTTCTAAAATAGTAAAATCATAAAAAGGTTAACTAACCACATTCCACCAAACTTCACTCTAATCAAGTGCTGAAGTAACTAAATTACAGACCAGTGACTTCAATTTTACCTTCACACTAATTTCACAAAAATGCCTTATTTGTATGCGCCTAAATTCCCTACTGGGTATCAGTGGAACCAGGATAATAATCTTTTCATCATCAAGACTTTTTTTTGCAGTATACAGCAATTTTATTTTTTCTTGGGAGAGCAGACTTTAGTGCGTCTAAACACTTATTGTTAGTATAAGGAAATGAGAAGAAAAAAAAAACAGGGTGAGAAGTGAAGGTAAAAAAAGTTAGATTTATTAGAGACTTACACCCTAAAACGTTGGACTTCCCTCCTTGAAAAGAAATACAGGAGAGAGGCCTCATCATCAGCAATCAACAAAGCTAATATGAAATTGCTCTCAATACATTATCTACGATCAAGACTAACATAAGGCGAGCTCTGGTGGCCTAGTGGCAAGAAGCTGCACTGCAATCACAGAGATGCACAGTTTAAATACATCAGATGCTCTGCTGAAGAAGGAACAATCTCCTTCTGTACCAGTCAGGTCCGATTTGACAGTACACACATAAAAAATAATAATTAAAAAAAAAAGACGCCAGCAATCATGTGCCTCCCATCCTGACTGGGGAGTTGGGATGACCGAAGATGGGCAGGAAGGCTTATCTTTATGGAAGAACTACACAAGCCACTACAGTTGGAGAAAGGCCAGAGGCCCGGCTTTGTGCTCTGGCTTTCCTCAGGGGGCAGCAGAGACCAGCTGACCCTCTCTGCTGCTTGTATTTGTTAATAATTAAAGAGAGGGATATATTTGGTTTCTCTCAAAAAAAAAAAAAAAAAAAAAGACTAACATAAAACAAGTGAGGTACGTAGGGAGCAAAATTTAAAGGGACATTCATTCCACAGGTACATACTGAGAATGAGCACCTATTTAAAGGCCTTCACCTCCTGCTTGCCACAACACAGTCCTGGCCCTGACATTTTAATATAATTGTGACTATGCAAAGGAAAATCTATTTTTAGTCATCGTATTTTTTAAAAACTATAATTTATAAGAAGGAAGACTATGTATGCTTTGTTTCAAATGGATTTTTTAAAAATTTAGTTCTATATACTTAAGATCATAAATTACCTTCAGTAAGAATCCAAAAATAATTATTTAAGTGTATTCATGTTGTTTGAAGGTGTGATGAAAGACACTTTTACCCTGAAAGTACTTTGTTGTTGATTAGCAAAAAAGTAAGCCACCCAAATTCATTCTAAACATTCTGTGGACATTTTTTACATTTAAATAACTTTTAACTATTAATTTCACAATGTACAAGCAACAGAACTGCTACTCTAAGAGCTAGAATTAAAAAACCAAACTTCTCAAGGAAGAAATTTAAGTAAACACACTCATTTGCCTAAGGGTCTTCCCCCCCTTTCTTTTTAAATTCTCAACCCAAAAGGAAAAAATTAACAAAATTCTAAATCAAAGTAATGGTTTAATGATTACAATGCTTCCAAAATATGGAGGTAATTAAAAATCTCAGAAATTTAACTTTTGAAGACAGTACTCATTAAAAGACAGAAAAAGGTTTCAATCATGCTTTTTAAAAGAAAGTTGTTCTTACCAAATAAAGCAGAAAGGTGTGCAGCCCTGTTCCAAGCCCAACAGAAGACAAAATTCCTAAGCCTATCCAGTAGGCATACAAAAGCAACTGTTTCTCTATACGTTGCACATACTGAAAAACAAAAGGGGGATATATTAATTTAGTGGATAGAAATGTGGTATTTTAAAACTACAAACAAAATAATGTGAAAGTTTCAAATAGGAAGAAAACATGAAGATTCAAAACCCTTTGATTTTATAATTAATGACTTTTTTGGTGATTTTCTTACAGAAATGTTGGATTTTTACTCATTGTTGCACATTTTTCTCCCTACTCCCCCTCCAATTTACTAAAAAAAAAAAATTCATTCATTTTGCATAATTTTCTCCCTCTCCCAGCGAGTCCACTTTGTTATGTACCTCATAATCTGGACTGTTGTCATACAAATAATGGCTAATCATATATTCCTTTAAAACAGTCCATTCCTTCATCTGTTCCAAGGCAGTGTTCATTATTTATCCCCTCTTTTCTTGGTTTCTCCCAAACTCCCATGCTGGTCCTGTTTTATAACAGAAGTGTTATACAATAATTTGCCCTTTTGCGAATGAGATATTCCACTTAGCGTAACATTCTCCAGAGTCACCAATGTTGTATAACATTTTAAGAATTCCTTGTTTTTCAGTGCTGCATAGTATTCTATTGTGTGAATATACCAGTTTTTCTATCCATTCATTTGTTGAGGGGAGCTTGGGTTGCTTCCATCTCTTTGCTATTGTGAACAATGCAATAAACATTTGGTGTGCCTCTATCTGTTTGGATGGTTTCTTTAGGGTAAATTCCTAGTTGTGAAACTGTTCGGTCAAATGGTATTTCTATTTCCAACTTTTTGAGAAAGCGCTATACCACCTTTCATAGTGGCTGTACCATTTTGCACTCCTACCCAGCAGCATTTGTTGTCTGATTGTTTGTTGACCTTTGTTACTGTTACTGGGGTAAGATGATATCTCATAGTTGTTTTTATTTGCATGTCTGAGTGCCAGAGATTCTGAATATTTTTTCATGTGTTTGTCTGCCATCTCCATCTGAATGTTTCCATGGTGAAGTGTCTATACATATCCTGTGCCCATTTTGCAAATGGGTTGTTTACCTTTTTCTTGTTTTAGTGCTCGATTACTCAATAAATGACAATTTTTTGAAAATGTGTATGATTGGTTGAAGTGGAAACGAATTAGCTTGGTAAACTAGAAAAGGCTTAATTCTTTTATTATATATGCAATGACAGAGATGGGGGGCAATGTGGTTCTACTATTTCACTGACATTTATAGAACAAAAGCAAAGTACAAATAAAACTAAAAGAATAAAAATATTAAAAGTTATAAAAAATGGTTTCAAAAAGAATACACAATGGTAAAAGTGGGGCTGCTATATACATAAATATGTGAGCAAAGTACAATTTTAAATTAGCAAAATAAAAATGAGAAGTCTTTCCATGTCTTTTAACAATTATGTAATTGGGTTATCAGTCTTCTTCTTGTGCAGGTCCTGTAGGATTAGGTAAACTTGTTATGAGATCCTTGTCTGAGATGTTTTTTCCCAGTCAGTAGGTTTTCTTTACACCCTGTTGGAAAAAGATTTTTATGTGCACAGGAATTTAATCTTTGAAAGATCCCACTCATCAATTTTATCCTCTCCTGGCTGTGTATTTCTGGCAGTATTTGTCAGCTTTTTTATACCACGTGCTAATATTCTTAGCTTGGTTTCACTTTGTCTCCTACAATCTTGATGGTTTTGGACTTTACCCTTAGGTCTCTGATCCACTTTGAATTGATTTTTGTGTATAATGAGAGGTATGCAGACTGTTTCAGTTTCTGCAGGTAGTAGTCCCATTTTGTCAGCACCATTTGTTGAAGAGGGTTGTCGTTTCCTTATTTTATAGGCTTGGTTTCCTTGTCGAATAGAAGCTGACCATAGATACATGGATTAATTTCTGGGTTCTCGAATATGTTCCATTGGTCTATGTGCCTGACACTGTACCAGTACCATGCTGTTTTGGCTATTATAGCTATGTAGCAGGTTTTATCCAGCTCTTAGATGCACAGCAAGTGATCCAAAAGATTGGGACCTGAGTCAGAAGCATTTTAGTTCCCAATGCAGTATGTCTCCTAATTTCCTGACTGCTGGTACCAAGGGTGTTAACTGTGGATCCAAGACAGATGAATTTGCTAACAGTTTCAATCTCTTCTTCATCTACCATAATGTTGTTGTCTATGGGTCCAGTGGTAAGAATCTTTGTCTTTTTTTATAATGACATGCAATCCAAATTGATGGTTGCATTCTTTGATTCTCTGCAACAAGTGACTCAAGTCCTCCTCACTTTTAGCAAGCAAGGTTATGTCATCTGCAATGAAGAGATGACAGAAGAATTGATGCCTCTTTGAGTTGTGGTGTTGAGAAGAGCACCAAACATTCCATGGACTGCCAAAAGAACAAATATGTCTTGGAGAGGGTACAGCCAGAGGCTCTTTGGAGGCAAAGATGATGAGGCTTCTGCTTACATACTTCAGGCATGTTGTTAGGAGGGGATATTCCGTGGAGAGGGACATGATGATTGGAACAGTAGAGGGTCACTGAAGGAGTGTAAGACTCAACCAGGTGGAATGCCAAAGTGATTGCTGCAATGGGCTAAAGGTGTGTCAGGAGGTGTGAGGATGGCACAGGATAGGACAAGGTTAAGATCTGTTTGTAGAGTTGCTATGAGTTGTATGAGACTTGACAGCACCTAACAACAACAGCAGTATGTTCTGAGACCAGTAAGTACTATGCCTCCCACTTCATTCTCGTTTGTCAAAAGTGCTTTGCTTATTTGAGTTCTTTTTCCTTTCCAAATAAACTTGCCAATAGCTTTTTCAATCTCTTTGAAAAATGAATTCGGTATCTGTATTGCAATTACATTAAACATGTAGACATGCTTTTGGTGGGACTGTCATTCTCACTGGAAAAAAGACATGGAAAAGACTTTTCAAAGAGAAAGATATTCTGATGGCCAACAAACACATGAAGAAATGCTCACAATCACAGTAAGAAAGATGCAAATCAAAACTACAATGAGATACCATCTCACCCTAATAGCAGGACAGCAAGTAATAAGAGTAATAAGCAAGTAATGGAGAGGTGGGAACTGTCGTACACTGTTGGTGAGATTGCAAAATTGTACAAACACTCTGGAAGCACTCAGGAGCAACGATTTTGAAAATTACTACATAACTTCAGAGAGATTGAAGAGCATTAAGCTAAGTGAACTAACTCAGTCTCATAAGGACAAATATTGTATAAGATCATTAATTGTAGATATAGAAAGATAACTAATAAGATGGGTATGGGGATCCAATGGGGGGAGGGCAGGAGCAGAAAGGCGTGAGGATGGGCAGAGGGAAATCACAGGATCACACACAATCTGATGGATCGAGGGTGGAGTGGGTAAAGAAAATGGAACAGATCCAGTGGAGATCTGGAAAGAAAGGGCAATGGTGGGCATAGTTCAATGAAGATTAATTCTAAAAAATGCAATTAATGAGAACGACTGTATGCAACACAATGTGAAAGAAGAATAGTGTGAAATCATGTATACAAACTTTATAACCAAGCCAATATAAAATAAAAATATATTTTTTTAAAAAGTCAAGATTAGAAACTTCTTTTGTACACTGAAGACCAGATGCTTTTCAAACAATAGGAAATCTAAAGGAATTGGCTGTCAACTGAGACACAAATATAAGGGTAGAATTTCAGATTTCTTTCTAGATTACAGCTTTAGCAAATAAAGTGACTAAATCATTTCACCACACACTCAATAGCAAACATTGTGATAGCCAGGTATAGTTGAGTCAAGAGCATCTATGAACAAATCTGAACCCTGTCCTATCCTGTGCGATCCTCATCTCTGACACACTTGAGCAAACTGCTGCAGGCAATGTGTTAATCCATCTCATTGAGGGTCTCCTCACTTTTGTGGATCCTCCATCTTCCCAAGCATGATGTCCTTCTGCAAGAAATAGCCTCTCCAAACAACATATCCAAAATATGCAAGACAAAGTTTCTTTATCCTTGCCTCTAAGGGGCCCTCTGGCTTCACTTTTTCTAAGACCTATCTGTTTGCTCCTTTGTAGTCCATGAGATAGTCAGTACTCTTCTCTAACACCACGACTCAAAGAGTCATCAATTGTTTTTCAATCATTCTTTTTCACTGTCCAGCCCTCAGATACATAGAAAGTAACTGAAATACCACGGCCTGAATCAGGTGTACGTTAGTCTTTAAGCTGACATTACTGTTCCTCAGAAATCTGGAGAAATTACTAACAGTAAATGTTCTCAATGCAATACATCGCCTACTACTGGTACCAAGGGTGTTGACAGTAAATCCAAGTAAGATGAAATCCCTGAGAATTTTATTCTTTTCTCCATTTATCATGATGTGTCTTACTGATCCAGTGGTGAGGACCTTTGTCCTCTTCTTGTTGAGATGCAATTCACACTGAAGGCTGTAGTCTCAGACCTCCTTTAGCAAATGCTTCAAGTCTTTCTCATTTTCAGAAGCAAGATTGTGGCATCTGCGTAACACAGACTGTTGATGATTCTCCTTTAATACATATGCCACATTCTTCTTCAACAGAGTTCAGCTTCCCAAAGGATTTGCTCAGGATATAGACTGAACAGGTATAGAGAATAGATACAATCCCTGTTTTTAAACCATGCTGTATTTTCTTGCTCTGTTCAGATAACAGCTTCTTGATGTAGGTACAGGTTTCACATAAGCACAACTGAGTGCTCTAGGAATCCCCTTCTTCTTAGTGTTAGCTATAATTATTTATGACCCACACAGTCAAAATGCCTTGGCATAGTCAATAAAATACAAATAAACACTTCTGGTATTCTTCAGCTAGGATCCATCAGACATCAACACTGACAACCAACCTTGGTGCCACAGCTTCATTTAAACCCACTTGAACTTCTGGTAGTTCTCTATCAATGTATCAATTCCATTTTCTTCTGATGCTTCCTGACTCATTCAATATTTTGCCCATTCTCTCTGTTTTGAAAATCAAGGCTTGAATTTGTTCTTCAGTTTTTTTCCAACTTGAGAAATGCTGAGCAAGATCTTCCATTTTTGTTCTCCAGCTATAGTTTTTTGTACATTCTGTTATAATACCCTGTCTTGTCTTCTCAAGCTGCCCTTTGAATCCACTAGCTTATTCATTACAAACAGAACACAGGTTTGGTGTTTTTTGGGGTTTTTTGTCTGTCTGTTTTTAATTATTTATTTTTAATTTTGCGTACCATCAAATTGGATCCAACGGGAGGAGTTTGCTCCTCCTTCTACAGTGGAGCATCTGGTGAATTTGAACTGCGTACCTTTGGGAGTGCAACGCAGCTTCTTGCCACTAGGCCACCAGTGCTCCAGATCACAGGTTTTTAAAAACAAACACAGAAATGTATTTAAAACTACAAATAAAATTCTGGCTTTAATTTATGAAGTATGATGTAACTTTAAAACTATTTGGTATTAGAAAATATTGGTGTCATCAATCAATAAATGATGGAGAAGCTGTGGTATATTCACACAATGAAATATTATGCAGCACTGCAAAACAATGAAATCATGAAATATACAAAATGGGTGACCATGGAGGACATTATGCTGAGTGAAATATCTCAGTCACAAAAGGACAAATAATGTTACTGTTATAAAAACAGAAATGACATGGGGCTGGGGGGAAACTAAGAAAAGAGGGCACAAATTATGTACACAGCATTAAAACAGACTAAGGAGAAAACTATATAAAAGGAATATATGATTAGGTATTATTGGCATGACAAAAAAAGAACAACAGCTGTATAGTAAAGTGGACTGGGGGCGGGGGTACTGTATGACAATGAAAGAATTTTTTTCCTGAAGAAAAAAGTGAATTGGGGGGAGGGGAGGGGCAGGGAGGAAAATGTGCAAAGATGAATAAATGGAAATCCAAGTTCTCTATAAACTTTCATTAAAATCTCAAATTAAAAAAATAAATAAAATCTCAATTAAATAAATATACTGGTGTTTTGCTTCTTTTTCCCTTTTTTTAATGAAAGTTTACAGAGGCTTTGGCTTTACATTCATTCATTGTTTGTTTTTTAACAAAAGATGTCAATAAAAATATTATTTTTCAAGAAGCTGCACTGTAATCCCAGAGGTGTTCAGTTCGAATCCACCAGATGCTCTGCTGGAGAAGGAGGGACAATCTCCTCCTGTATGATTTTTATCTTCAGTAATGGATTTAAAGAATACAGGAAAATGAATTTGCTTTTTTTACATCAGATATCAGTTATAAAAAAAAAGATAAACTTAAGTAAGTTGAAGCTAGAAATTCTATGAAATTTATAGAATATCCAATAGTCCTATTTTTTAAAAAATTGGGACTTAAAGAAGGTATAAGAATAGAAAGGTAACAAGTTTGCTCTTACCTGTTGATGTGCTCCTTCAACACAATACGTAGCTATAAGCACAGCAAGCAGCAGTAAAAAAGACACCACAATGCTTTGACGATGCCATAATCTTAAAAAGAAATGGAAAGGGGGAAAAATAAATGAAGAAATAATTTGCATCTCATTTTCAGGATCTTACTATTGATACTGCTGAAGTGGCTAAATTGTCAAGCTCAGCAACAGTTCTTTCTAGGCTGAGCTCATTCCCTTTGTGTAGTCAAACACTAAGACCTCTAAGGAAGAGAGAGGGTAGAGGTAGGTCAAGGAAAGATACATGGATATAGAACTCAATTTCTTAGCATAAATCTCACCAAAGAAACGTTTTTACACAAAGAACCATCCTATGTACCACAATTTCTATTTGGGGGAAAACATGATGTAATAAAAAAAAAATTCATGTTTGTATATGATACAAACATATCCATGCATATAGCACACAGCTTATAGGGAACAAAGTCATATACACTTAATTGTAACCAATAATTTTAACCAAGGAATGAGGTGACAGTCCTAGGACTCAGGTTCTTATTCTTTGGAGACATCAAAGCCAACTGCCATAATACAGTCTACAAAGGTAAAGTTCTACATCCTACTATGGTCCATAATGAATGGAATCTTATAAGCTTGTGAGTAGCCACCTAACTTACAAATATTGGTCTTTCCCTGGCCAGAAGAGAGAAGAAAAATCACAGAAACAATCACACCATAGGACTTATGGACTACAGGAACTTCAACTTCCAGGATCACAAAACCAGAATAACTATGTGGTGACTGCTCTAAGATTTAACAATACAAGATTTTTAGAGTGGGGAAATGTGAAACAAAACTCAAAAGCATAAAAATGCCCCAAGTTTATTGGTTAGAAACTGGTAGAACCTTCCTGTCATTCTTGGCACTTAAAATAAAAATTACCCTTGTGACTCAACCTGCAACTAAAAACACACCCATGAGATAGAGGAACAGTAACATTAGGGAGGTACTCACACCTTAGAACTATACAGAAACAAAAGGACATTTGCCCAGGAAGAAAACTCAAAAGGCAGAAAGAAGTAGAATAGAAGGATTCCTGGAAATGAGAAACCTAAGGAGAAGGCTGAGGGCTTTGGTTACATTGTGGGTACTGTAAGAATAATTGAATTAAAAACCAATTTGACTTGTAAACTTTCACACTAATCATAATTTTTTGTTTTTTTAAAAAAAGCAAAGCATGGCCTTTATGTGTGAGGACCTGGGTCATAATCCCTTAAATGCTGCATTTGGAATAATGATTTGGCTTGACTTCAAAATCATAATCTTTTTGTTCAACATAAAAGTTTTTTTGGTTTTTAAAAAAATTTTATTTTATTATTTTTATGTGAGTGTACCGTCAAATCAGATCTGACTGGTACAGGAGGAGATTGTCCCTCCTTCCCTGGCAGAGCATCTGGTGGATTCGAACCATGCACTTCTAGGCCACCAGAGCTCCCCTCAACATAAAAGTTTTATTAGTCATGATATATAGCACGTTTCTTTTTTTAATTCTCTATATTATAAATAGAATGATAATGAGAAAGTACAAATTAAGCATTCAAAAAAATCTAAATTAAGAAAAGGCATGATTAAAGATCCTAAAAACGTCCGTTATAATTCTGAGTATTTTTTTTAATTTTTTTTATATTTTATAAAGTTCACATACATTGTATTCATGCCAGATCTTTCCCCTTTCCTTTATCCACCCCTTCTTCCACTCATCAAATTGTGCAACCCTATGATTAAGCACCCCCTGCCCTTAGATTCTCGTACTTGTTCTATAATAAGTCTCATACAATATTTGTCATTATGAGACTGAATTATTTCCTTTAATAATTACATACTTATTTTCCCTTCCTCATAGAGCTGATGAAAGAAAGGAACAGTTATTGAAAAGTATTACAAAATGCTGTATAAACTTTAAAGTACAGTATCTCTAAAGTACAGATAACAACTTGGAAGGGGCAGCCAGAAAGTGATAAGGCATTTAAAAAAAAAGTTCAACTGAACTTTATGATATTTGAAATGAGATTTATAAGTACTAAGTTTAAAATGATAACATAGTTTCATGGCAGAGTCCTCTTTTATAGCTCAAACTACAAAGGAAAATGCCACGTATGCTAAACTGTGTCCTGCTTAAGAATCAGTGTAACTAATGTATATTGTTGTTGTTAAGTGTTAAGTCGTAGATGACTCGTAGAAACCCTATGAACGAAAGACCTGAACATTTGTATAACTTTCATCATTTCTCCAAGTTCATAGAGTTTTGAAACACAAGCCATTTCGGAAGTGGATGCCACTCCTGCTTCCAAGTCTGTTTAAATCGGGGAACTCCACCAAACACTGTCTACCATGGGTAACCATTATCACATATGACACATCAGTGTCACGGTGTTTAGCATCACAGCAACCACAAGTTATCTCTGTACAACATATGGACAGATCAATGCTCTACCACTACAGAAGCCTGATTTCTTCTGAAGGTAAAACCAGGAGATTAAAAAGACCTTGCATTCAAAAGTCAACAATACACACCAGTCAGCTGTAACTTCCTTCTAACTACAGAGAGGAGAATAAATATTCTTATGGCAATGTTTTAAATTTAACTGATCAATGTGGTTGAAGGAAAACCCACAATGTCCCTTTTCAGCAGGAAGTAGCTAAGAGAATACACCATCCCCTTTTCCTTATGAATCAGGGTGAAGTCTCTCTCAGGGAGGAGTGATAGGGAATGGCAAAGGACACACTGACAAAGGAGATTAATCAGAACTGACTTTGACAAGCACTGTGGCAATTGGACAATTAAAACAGACATTCGGATGGCGGGGGAAGAAGAACAAACTGGGGAGGAGGGTAGAGAGAATGGGGCAGCAAAGAAGGAATGAAAACCCAAAATCCCTGTAAATGGTCATTAAAACTAATAAAATTTAAAAAAAAGGAAATAATAAAAAATGTATACTGAAAAAAAAAATCTTTTTCCAAAGGAAAAAAAAAATGTGGTTGAAGGAGATGGTAGAGGATAGGAGACTAATGAAACATTCTAGAAAGAAAGGAGTGGAAGATTCTTTACTTTGAGGTCCATTCCTTCAAGATTACTAGGATTTCCAGAAAAAAATACTGCAAGGTAATGAGTGGCTGTTTCCATAGGACAATATTCTGCCGTTCTTCTCGATCCCTCTTCTTCTTTTCATTTATTGAAGAAGGGTCTGAAAAATAATAATGTAGAAGTTAAAACTAATTTCTAACATTTATGCTCATACTTTGCAGAAGCTTTCAATATTCATCCACATGAAAGTCAATTTACATTTGCATCACTCAAGTTTAAACAGCTTCAAGTACAAACTTGAGATTACCCCTTCTCTAGTTGAGACAACCCTTGGAACACAATTCTAATTAACACAAACAACCCTATACAAGTGTGTCTGAATTCTGCAACACAAAATCAAGAATTGTGGTATGTTCCCATAATTAAGCTCTATAGCCATTAGTTTTATTTCTGTATTTGTTTATCTCTTTCCATTCTATTTCTGGTAATCTTTGAGATTATTATTATTGCAGGCAATGGTAAAGAGGGTACAAAGCACTAATCCTAATACGTTTACTGGGTCAAAACAAAATTTATCCATGTCCCACCTAACTATTTCCATTGTGTTCTGGAACCTTGGAAAGTGGCAACTGGTCCAGACTGAACAACACTTGATTTTAAAAAGGAGATGAATGAATAGTCATGCTTATTGTTATGTGCTGTCAAGTCAACTATGACTCATAGTGATACTATGAACAATGGTTCTGACCTTGCCTTAACCTTAGCCAAACTAACTACCTCTGACATACCTGACCCCCCCCACCACTGCCACAGTCATTGTGACAATCGATCTCATTCAGGGTCTTTCTCTTCTGCGCTGATCCTCTACCCGCCTTTCCAAGCATATGATAAGATTATCATAGTTGCTACATTTTAATCAGCATTACTCTGAGAATAAAGTATGGGAAATAGGTTGAGCTTTGCAATTTACTCAACTGAGAGATATAAGACTAGTATCTAGAAGGTGATCTAAAGAAATGGTATCAAATATTCTACCAGCCAAATCTGAGGTAGAACGTAAATGTGAGGAAGATGATGACTCTAAGCTAGTCGCTTCTGCTGTATCCTCACTAATATTTTCGTAATTATTTAAACTAAAAACAGAAGCGTTTGATGTACATTACAGTCATTAAGTCTAAATTGGTCCTGTTTCTCTAAAGAGCAATTCTGTATATGTTATAAAGAAAAATGATTTAGAGCTAAGATATGGAGGTAAGCATTTTGGTTCAAAAGTCTGGCTCGGCCTCCAACCAGCCATATAACAAGAGTCCAGTTAATGAACCTTTCCATGTCTCAATTTCCTCTTCCACAAAATGGGGATTAATGACAGTACTTACTTTCAGAGTTATTATAATACTTCATGTAACCAGGAGTCTTTTTGTTGTTACTGTCTTCTTTTGCATGTAGTGCTTTCAGTGTTCATCCATCTTATAGTATGTATTAGTATTTCATTTCTTATTATATTTGAGTAATGCTCCACTATATGGATATATTAGAATTTTTATATCCATTATTTGATGAGCATTTCGGAGGGGTTTTTTCCTTCTTGAGGTTTTTAGGGGGGGAATGCTGTTGTGAACATTTATTACAATATTTTGTGTGGTATAAACTTTTCTCTCAGGTATATAGCCAGAAGAGGAATTGGGGAGTTGTATGTTGACTCATTAACCATAGCTTTAACATTTTGAGTAACTGCTAGGCTTTTAAAAAGCCAGGGGCAGGAACAACACCGAAACTAATGGTTAATTCCACAATAAGGGATATATTTTCACTTTTTCTGTAAAATGCTCATCTGTTGGATACTTCTCTAAATCTGAACATTCAGATTAAGACACACTATGAAGGAGGATTGGCCATCCACTTCCAAAATAGCAGGCTTCTGAAAACCCTATGTACAACAGAACACACGTAGAATGACAGAAAGGGCAACTGAGTATGAAAATACAAAGAAAGAGGAACAGTTGTAAGCAGACACTAGTGATTGGAACATGGAATGTGAGATCCATGAATGTAGCTAAGGGATAAAAAAGTTATTTTCCTCTCCTAACTGACGTTTATCTCATTCTTTATCAGAGCCATTCAATAAAAATAAAAAACATACAGTGTTTATGTCGAACTCAAGGTGAGACAGTGTAAAATTTATTAAAAGATCAAAGTCACTAAAAATCATTATTAGTGCAGCAAAATGTATTTAGTTAATTGTCAGTTCTGGCTATATGGCAATGAGACAGTGAGAAAGCATTTTTTTTAAAACTGCAAATTTAGAAATAGTGTAACAAGTAAATGAATAAATTTACAAAGTGGCATACTAAAACTGAGTAACAAAAGTAAACTGAAAACCTGACTTTGATGGCTAAGATGTCCATCCATGAATGTTTTTTGTCTGTTTTAATAACACATCTTAACATCAGTAAAAAAGATGCAGTGCATAATCTGCTAGTATTCTCAGATATTCAATTTTGTAATTTACTATTTATAATGTACTTAAAGTTACAATTATATGATTTACTATTTGAAAAACTGCAAGATTTATAAAAAATATTGATAATAAAAGACGATGATGACAACGACAAATGAAGAAGAGTTCTTTTACTTGTGCCAGAATTGACTTATGGTAGTCAGCAAAAAGGAACCTATTCTAGGTCACGGTCTATCTGTATTTCAGTTTTATTCCAGTTTAAGACATATCCTTTCAGTCAGCAGATCTCTTTTCTCCAAGTTATCATACTTTACCTGTGAAGTTTCCATTATGTTGCTCCTTGTTCATTGCTAAACGTCTCTGGTCACAATTTTTTCCATTCTCTGCCATTTCATAGATCAGTAACTCTTGAGGAGCTAAAAAAGTGGGAGTAAGGATATAAATAAATTGGAATTCTCACAACACTCCTGGTGAAAATGTGAAATAGTACAGTTACTTTTTTTTACTTCAAGTCATTTATGTTTGAAAATGTTTAACTATATTACATATATAACTGTATTATGTAGTCATCATGCTGACTGTAACAGATGTATAAAATCTGAATGCCTCAGGTTTTTAGGCAAGGATCTACCTGGTCTGCCTTTTGCCTTTTTTATATATTTTAATTTGTTTATTTTTCATTTCAATGAACATCTACAGAGATTTTTGAATTCCATTCATTCATTGTTGCACCCTTCTCCCCACCCCACCCCCGTTTGCTCCTCTCCTTGAAAAGCAAAAGAAAAACTCCCTCATTGGTACACAATCCCCCTCACACCTCCCCCAATCCCACCCCAACTCCAAGTACACTTACTTTTTAAAAGCCTAGCAGTTACTCAAAATGTTAAAGCTAGGATTAATGAGTCAACATACAATTCCCCAATTCCTCTTCTGGCTATATACCTGAGAGAAAAGTTTATACCACACAAAATATTGTAATAAATGTTCACAACAGCATTTCCCCCCTAAAAACCCCAAGACTCCTGGTTACATGATTCCAGTTAGACAATATGTCCTGAACAGGAAAATTCATAAAGACTGAACATATATTGACAGAGCTGTGGTAGTCTGTAGAGTTGCACTCATAACCAAAAGGTAGTAGGTTTGAATCCACTAGCAGCTCCAAAGTGGAAAGAATGGCAATCTCCACACGATTTAGAGCCTTGGAAAATCTATGAAGAGTCAGCTATGAATAGGTTCTGACTTGACAATAATGAGTTTGCGTTTCCATTTTGCACATGGTTCAAAAGGACTAGGTGGAACTGAAGGAAATTGGTGACTGGCTGTTAAGGAGTACTGGGTTTGTTTTAGTGAAGCTGAAAGTGTAAAACTGATCATGATGATGTATGCACAATTGCAAGAAAACACAGAAAAACCAACAAGTTGTATAATCTAGTAGCTGAATTTTATGCTATATAAACTATGACTCAATAAAGCACTAAAAATAATCATTAGCTGTTAAGTATCAAAACCTATAAATATAATTATAGAAAAAGATTGGCATTCTTTGATCCTTACAAATCTTCCATTATTTTTATATTAATAGAAGCTTCAAGCTTAAGAGTAAACTGATGCTCAAACAGCTGAAATTTTTATTACACCAGCTGAATCTGTGACAGTATGCATTTATGAATTACAGGGCTGTATTTTTAAAAGTATAAACTCAAGAAATCACTGGGTAAGATGCTTGTGTATGTTAGCTTCTTTCTCTGCATAGACAAACAATAAATTTTTTTTAAATGTTAGCTGAACACTCCATATGTGCCAAGAATAATGCTAGATTTGTATTTAGATTAGAAAATTATTATGCCTCAAATCGTTCTATAATTTGTTGCTGTTGTTGTGTACTGTCAAATTGGGACAGATCTATTGTTGACCCCCTAGTAGGTTTTCAGAGGCAGTAGATTGCATGGGAGTAGACTGAGAGAACAGCTGGTGGATTTGAACCACATCTCTGCACATATTGGTAGCACAATTCCTTACTACTGAGCCAACAGAGCTCCCCCTTCAATATAATCTAGTTGGTATCATTTCATTCCTTGACCAAACTCTTAACTTTAATTTCTATTTCCAAAAATGTGTGCCTTACTAGGGGAGCTCTGGTGGCCTGGTGGTAAGCAGTAGTGCTGTAGTCCCAAAGGGATGTGGTTCATTTGCTCTGTGGGAAAAGGATAGTTGCTTTTCAGCCTCTAAAAACCTAGAAGGTCAACTATGGGTTGATTCCAATTTGAAGGCACACAACAATATGCTTTATTATGGAAAATAAGTGTAGGTGTATAGACTATGAACAGAGTATAAATTCATCACTCTTCTAGAATTCTTTTCTCTTAGACACAATGTACTTGTCAGCATCAGTTTTAATTTCTCAATTAGAAAATTTACACATCAAGAAATAAGGTATAAAATTTCATTGTCATAAATAGTATAGAGTAGATGATTATAAAACTTCATAGCCTTTAATATGGACTACATATCAAGAAAAAATTCTCACAACTGAACTAAAAGGCAATAACAACAAATGGCTAAAGTGTTAAAGTTGTTAATGATTTCCTCTTACTTGGATTCACAATCAACATCATTGGTACCAGCAGTCAAGAAATCAAAAGACATGTATACTGCATTAGGAAAATCTGCTGTCAGGACCTCTCTAAAGTACTCGATAGCAATGTCAGTTTGGAGACTAAAGTGTCCCTGATCCAGGCGATGTTCTTCTCAATTACTTGCTATCCACCTGGAAGTTGAACAATGATTAAAGATGAGAGAAGAGTAACTGGTGCCTTTTTAGTTTTGTTGGTGAAGAGCATTAAATATCCCATGGGCTGCCAAGAGAACAAACTAAAATATCTTGAATGAAGTACAAGTGGAGTGCTCCTTAGAAGCAACGTTGGTGAAACTTTGGACATGTCTCACATACTTTGGACATGTCAGGAAAGGCCATCATGCTTGGAAAGGTGGAAGATCAGCAAAGGAAAGGAAGACCCTCAGACAGATTGATATAGTGATTACTACAATGGTCTTGAGCATGACAGAGATTATGAGGATGGTACAAGATTAGGGTTCAGAACTGTTGTACACAGGATTACTGTGAGTTGTAATCAACTTGATGGCACCTAACAACAGCTGTTTGATTGTGAACAAGTCTTGTTTTCCTTGCCTGCATGTATGTGAATGTGTGTAAAGAGCAATACAACAAAGGGGTAGGAAGTATGTGAAGCAAATATCTCAGAACCACCTATATTAGGAAAATAATTTCATAGCAAGTATCTCACTATTTTATCACTGCTGTCAGTGTCATTTATTCAATAAACATCTAAAAAATACTAGGATCTATAATGAACACTAATGAAAGAAGCCCCCAGTCTAATAGGGAATCCAGATAAGTATACACAAAAATCAATTATAGAGGGTCAAAAAGGTATCATAAAATGAATACATTTTATTAGGTAGGAAGACTTAGTACTAGTGGGGGAGAGAGGTAGACAAACCAGGTTTAAAAGCCTAAGAGAGCTGAGTTCAAATCCAAGCCTGACAAGTAACTATTACTAGTTGCTTGGAAACATTTTTAAATCTAAGTATACACCTCGCAAATCTATACAATAGTGTATTTAATATACTAATATATCATTATCTGTTTATTAGTACAATGATAAAGCAAGTATAGGAACTCCAAGGGTGGGCAATATATACTGAAGCATTCAAAGAGGGTGAGCTTTTTATTATGTCATTTAAATCATTTTTGGCTAGCCAGAAGCTTCTTGTTGGGAATCAATGCATGGGCCTGTGGCCTTTTAAAATTCATGTGGCTTTGGAGGTGGGTCTTTCTGTGTAGGATGGGGGCAGGCTCTAGGTCATTTTTTGGCTGGCCTCTTATTCGGAACCAATGAGAGCCTGATGTGCGGGCCTGTGGCCTCTGGTTTTAACTGTTTTTGAAATGAACACTTTTTTCTTTTCTTTTTTTTTTATTGTATTATTTTTACATGTACCATCAAATCAGATCTGACTGGTACAGGAGGAGATTGCCCCCTCCTTCTCCAGCAGAGCATCTGGTGGATTTGAACCTGAAATGAACACTCCTAAGTGGGATAGCACTGTTCTGTCATTTCCCTGTATTGAGTTAACTTTGGATTGCTGTGATACTGAATGTTGTGCCATTGGTTTGTCAAGTGCCATAATGGTTACACATGGTCGACAATATTTGGTAGAGCTCACAGATTAAGATAGGCTCAGAAGGAGTGGCAATCACTTCCTAAACATGCCTGTGGAAACTCTATGAACTTAGAGAAAGGACAATAATTATAGAACAATGTTAAATTCTTTTGTTTAGAGGATCAGTACTAGATGGCACGTAACAACAACAACAACATATAACTGCCAAGCCCTTTGTCTTCCATTTTGGATTTGGATGAAGCAGCTCGAGTCTGCAAGACGTTGGTGCTCTTGTTTTGGTTGAGGATCTACGTGGACTGTTTCATTGTTTTTATTTAAGCCTCTTGTTTAGAGTCAACAAGACCTCCAGGAGGACACTTGCATTTAAAGCCAAGCCCTTGTCTCCAAAATGGAGACTGGGTGAAGGACTGGACTCCGTAAAATGAGCTCTCTTCTTCTGGTTGAGGGTCATGTAGAATGCTTGGTTGGTTTTTTTTTTTTTTT